GAGCCAAGGGGTGGGCTCAGGTACAGCTGGTGGAACAAAGCTACAGGGTGCTGCTTCCCTCTGCAAATAAACACACGTCCAAGGAGCAGCAGGGACCATCCTGCACAAGACACATTAATGCCAACTCCGCCACCTTAACACACAGCTGATCTTCCATCCCACCTTGTGCAAGGAAAGGTCCCAAAGGGCTGAGCCATGGGCTCTGGGCATCCAGCCACCTCTGCAGAGAGCTCTTGGGGAGAAGTGCTTCATGAAGCCACAGTGCTCCTGGTGTTGGCCTCCCTTAAATATTTCACATTAGGTTGGAAAAGAAACCCAAAATTAAACAAGAGACCTCTCTATTCATTCAGTGTTTATTATCAATTTTTGTGCCTATGCAGAAGGATCACATGCAGATGTGTTAGGAAGTGTTTACAGTGTATGTAAGAGAGCTAAATGGAATCTCTGTGGGTTCTCTCTGGCTGTTTCTGCTTTTGTCTGTGTTTGTTGCCTTTCACAGTGTTCACCCCAGGATAAACCAAAGCTCCTCCATAGCTCTCAAGGTCTACTGCAAAGATAGCTCCAGACAGAACCTTAGCTCCCTGAGCTCAGGAATGGCCCTGAGGGTTGCAGCTGCCCTGCTAGTGACTGTGCTGGGTCAGCATTTAAAGCTTCAGGTTGGATATCAGGTAAAGGCTCTTTGTCACCAGATGGTCGGGCACTGGAACAGGCTGCCCAGGGCAGTGGTCACAGCCCCACACTGACAGAGTTCAAGAAGTGCTTGGACAACGTGCTCAGACATAGGGTCTATTTTTGGGTGGTCCTGTATGAAGCTCAGAGAGGGACTCAATGATCCCTGTGGGTCCCTTCCAACTCAGGATACTCTATGATTCCTGAGCAAATTTACAATAATGGACTGGAGGCTAACCTGATTTATATCAAGAAAACCAGCCAAACTGGTATCTAGCAGCTTCATTATAAAGTGAGAGTACAAATGTGCACCAACTCATACATTTCTGTGGTACAGCAAGGGGAACTCCACCATACCTAGGGAAGGACAGACTTGTAATGAAGATATTGAAGAATATGCATTTCAGCCCTGTACTGCTAGCTTTTGTACAGCAACCAGTGATGCTGATGCATTTAGCAACAATGTGCAGGAGCAGTCCTGACTGACAGAGCGTTTGCAGGGATGTGCACTTACAGATCTATAATCAGAACCCTAAATAAAAGTAATCAATTAATAAAGATGTTCCATAATTAATAACTGCCTGCAGTAGAATTAGGAGTTGTAGATCTACCTGAGCTGCCTGAGAGCAGAACAGTATTTCAGGCACCCAAACTCTCCAGCTGAGTAATTTTCCAGTTACTGGGTTTGGTTCAGATGGTATAAATTTGTCACATTGTTAGAAAGCTCACGGAGTTTAGAAAGACGTGTGGGATGACGACTGATCAAAACTCTTTAAATATAAAAGCATCAGAGAAACTCTGCGGTTCAGGCTTAGACAAGCAGGCCTTTCCTGACACACAGTGCACACTACCCATCTATATTTAACACCAGCTGCTCTGCGCTGCTATCGGTTCTCAGTTTCGTGATACCTGTGATGTCCCACAGTAAGACAGCAAATGTGCACAGGCTCATTTCACACGGCGGGGAGGTGCCGGGGAGTCATTCGTGCTCAACAGACTGCCCTAGAAGAACCTAACGTCTAAAACTTCTACAGGGGCAACACAGTCCTTTCACCACCAGGCAGCAGCAGCTCTGCCGACTGCTTCAAAGAGTCCAAAACCTCAACGGACCGGCTCAAAATAACTGTGGAAAGTTACATTGTATTTTTATCTCGTAGATACTCATCTATGAGTCAGTGCTTTAAAATAAAGCAACATCAGCTCTGCATACATAATGCACACAAGACCCAGGATGTTCAAACTTACCCCTCTGCTTTGAGGGAGGACAAAAAGCACAGAAATAAATTCATATTTGCTGAAGTCAGACAGAACTATACCTTAAGAGCTGTCCGAACTCATGCACTGTGCATCAAAATAAACCCACCAAGCCAGCAAGATTATTTCAGCAGCATCAAGAATGAGACTGTAAGGTAAGCAAGTGCAGCAGTCTCCAAAACAAAAGGAATCCCTGCTGCACTTTTGAACATGAACAAAACTGTTGTACATGGAGGAAAACCTAAAGTGCAAGAAAATAAATATCGTGACAAGAGGAACAGAGGCATAATTCAAAGAGCATAGCACATTCAAGATGAACTGGAACTCACGTAAATGATCTTACTGAAAGATGTGGCATCTGAAAAATGAAGTCCAGTAATAAGGCACTTTTAATAAACTGATGAAACTCCCCCAGCCCACACCAGAAAGCCTGGTATTTCTGTATTTTGGACAAGAACCCAAGCTATGATACCAGTGCAGTAGTCTGTGAAACTTCAGAATCTGAAGATCACAATACATCAAGCATACATTAACAGAGGTAAATGAAAAACTGGATAAAATGAAAAATAAATAAATCATTCTGGATCAAACAGATGCACTTCCTTATTAAAAAGTTTTCCAGACAAGAAAAATGAGTAGCTCCAAACTATGTGGATTTTAAGTAAAGTATTTGACATGGTGACATAGGAAGTTAGTTGAAGCAGAAGTGGGGAACATAGAGGAACTGGCAAACAGAGAATACTGATGCTTGCCAGGAAGCACCAGGGTACAAGGAGAGGCTACTGTCAGCTGAACCTTCTTGAATATTTTCATTACCAAAACCAGAAGGGCGCAAGAGAAGACTGGTATGAGCTGCCAACTCAGAGAAATGAAAGGCTGCTCACGGAGAAACAAAGGCCACACAAGCTGCAGTGAAATAAAGTGGATACAAGTTTACAGAGCAAATTGCAGGAGAACAGCAAGAGCTCTTGCTTGCAGCTGGCCAGCTGCAGGGATAAGAGCACTTAGATACACTACATGACCGCAGCATTAGCACCTCTCTCTAAGGAGATGCTGACACAAAAAGGCAGTTTAACCACTTAAATACATGGCAAAATATTCTCAGTGGCAGGCGAGAAACATTACGTGTACAAAACAGTTAACAGAGCCTTATCTTGGAATACTAGGTACAATGCTTGCTACCCAATTTTGAAAGGGATAGAAAACTAAAACAGGTCAGGTGTGACTAGTGTGAACAAGGAAATACTGACATTTTATGAGAGCAGACCAGGGCAGTTTGTGGGAGGGAAATATCCATGTGGGTACACTGGGGAGCAATTCTCGGAGCAGCACCACAGGTTTTAAAGCTAAAAGACAGAGCACAACTGCATACAAACCAGTCATGACCATACTAGGCTGGAATTAGAACAAGGTTTCTGACCACCACCAGAGCAATCAAGCTGTGGAAAAATCTCCCAGTGCAGTGGTTTATGGGAAGGGGGATAAACCGTGACTAAGGACTGCAGTCACTGACCCAGAGAGACCTCTCCAGCTCTTAATTTCCACACAGTGCAGTTCCTGCATCCTGCATAATCACGGAAAGCAGAGGAACTGGGTTGGGAACCCACAGGTGAGAACCCCTGCTCCAGAGGACTGGCTGACAGAATGTCCTAACTGTGGCACAGCCCAAATCCCATCTCACCAGCCCCAGGTGAATCCTGAAATCCAGGCACCTCGGGATGTTCTGAAACTCCTCGTGGGTTGGGTCTCCCCGACCCACGATGACAATAGCTGTAATAAGGGCTGCTGTAATGAGATGAGGTCAGCAGATTAAAAGAGCAGGGTCTTGGTGATTTTCTTAGAGGGAAATTTATATGGAAGACAATATCTACTGCTGAGGAGATCTTGCACTTGTATCACTCTTCCTCAATCCTAACCTACAAGGCTGTATGGACTGACCCAATGCAGGAGCCCACTCTGAGCACGCAGATGCCTCCATAAAGCCAAGCACTGTCATATCATAGCATGGCTTAGGTTGGAGGGGGCTTTAAAGATCATTTAGTCCCCACCCCCTGCCATGGGCAGGGCTGCCATCCTCCAGCTCAGGCTGCCCAGAGCCCCATCCAACCTGGCCTTGAGTGCCTCCAGAGATGGTGCATCCATAGCTTCCATGGTCAGCCTGTGCCGGTGCCTCACCACTCTCTGAGTAAAAAATCTCTTCCTAACATCTAATATGAATATCTCCTCTTTTAATTTAAAGCCCCTCTCCCTCTTGTCCCATCACTATCAGATCATGCAAAAGGTCGGTCCACCTCCTGTCCTGGATACCCTGCTGTCTCCTAACAGCAGCTGTGCATGAGTGATTTCTGTTGCCCTCTCCCAGCAGGGCCTATCAGCTCCTGGTTGAGGAGCTGCCACAGCCATGTGCAGGGACTTTCACCTGTCCTCTTGTCCCCTGCACAAGGGGCTGGGACCAGCTGAGCTCCTGCAGCAGGTCTGGGTCAACCTTCTTTTTGAAACTGGAAGAAATTACCAGTCTGGAACTCTAACGCTGAGGTTTGTGCAATATCCACCAGGCGGGCATGCTGCTATCGAGTTTACTTCAGAATTAAAAATAGCAGGAGAAAATTCATGTGGAAGATCAAGCGTGCTAATAGATCATATAACTCGCACCAGACCAAGCTGTGCTGTAAACAATTTGCAGCATAAAACATACAGGAACTGCCACCAAAACACTTATTTACACAAAAACCAATAATTACAACAGTCTCAGGTTGCACGTACATTTTCTTGAGAAATTAATGACAGCCTTACAAAATAAACCAACACCAACAATAACATTTCTTGCGCTTTAAATTTGATCTTCAAGAGCCTTGCTGCTGGGCATAAGAACTAACAGCAGCCTAACAGGCCTGACATTTAATAAGCCAAGTTTATTTCTAGAAAGTGAGCTGGAAATTAAATCTCCTGCTTACAGCTGGCACACTGTGCGCAAGAGGAATCCTAAGATGACTGCATTTAATTTTTACCCTATAGCTTTTATCCTTCTACTAATTGGTATATTTAAGTGCACTTAATCATTTCAGCACTGAACTTACCCCCGTGATAAATCTCCAATTTAGACTATGCAACAATAAATCTTTGTCTCCTCTTAGCAGCTGGCAAGTTTTGATTTGGACTTTGAATTTAGATCTTCTCCTCAGGCTTAACAGTAACAACTTGTTTGTTCTGCCTTCTGGAAACGTGACATTAACTCTGCTCTTTAACTGTGTTAGCGTTGCTTAAGCGCAGTGTTCTCAGTGCTAAAATCGGTTGCCCCTCCGTAGTGCCAGCCTAAGAAACAGAACAAAACCAATTAGACTGTGCTGGTGGCTTACAAAGCAACTTTCACTCATTAGTATTTACACAGCATCACTGGGCCACGTGACACTTTGCAGGCACAAGGACAAGCTCGAGGTTATAATACAATCTTTCAATAGATGCCTCCAATGCCACAAAGAGCTAATTTAAAAACAGGTGGAAGGGGCCTCCAACAATTAACAGAGGAAGAACGCTCCCACTAATACCTTGTAGTCTGCCAGAGGACCAAGTCAGGTCTTCTCTTTAATTCTTTGACAAATGCCCTGAAAACTTTATGGAAGCAGCTCCTGTAAAAATATCTAAATTAGATGCGATCACCAAAGAACAAAGGGGAAAACCGTTTCCGGGTGGGGAAGGGGATTCTACCCCCAGCTTTGCTACAGGCCTCCTGGTAAGCACTCCTGGTAGAATCCTGGTAAGCTGTTTAGCTCCCATCTGTAAGACTTCACACACATTATTATGACCCTTTCAATACAACTTGGGACTTGCGCTCGCAGAACAAATCATGTCATTAAAGATTTGCAGGATCAAAGTCTCATTTCCCCATGCCTTAGTTCTTCCTGCACACTTCAATACAGCTGCATTTGACATACTCGCAGACGCTGGGAGAAGGGCCTCATTTTGTTAAATATAAAACACCTACTTAAACAACTCGCCTTGTGATAAAAGGCTGAATAGTACAGCAGTTGCACCGAGTTGAGAAAGACTGCATCTTCATAATTTCCTGACTATGATGTTTGCTTTTGCAGATTTGAGTCCAGAAGAAACTGCGAGCTCACTCAATGTATGCTGCCACTTAAGTTGCTTTATTTGCTTTACCACTTGCCAACGACACAAACAGCTCTTTCTGTTTCACAAGGCACAGCTCAAACGCTGAGATTTGTCAGCTGACCCAGCAGCTGACCCAGCAGCACTGGGCCCTGGGTGCATCAGCCAGGCATGAGAGCCCTGGAATTCCCAGAAGCACTGCAGCCACCAGCACAGTGTACCTGCACGCAGGCAACAACCACTGTCAGATGTTAGGGTTTTTTTGTTTCTTTTTATTTCAACATGACAGCATCTTTACTGCTCAGCTCTGCTTACGGCAGGCCATGAGGTTTCACTTAGTTAGCTCTTTCTGGGGCACAGCAGTATTTGTCACACCACTGACAGTCTTAATACAGCCAGAGCACTGCTTGCCATTGTAGTTAGGGCCAAATGCAGTCATCTTCGAGAAATCATGTTAAAAACATACTTCATGTATGAATTCCACTGGACTCAGCTTGCAGCCACCCAGTTTTGTAACACTGGTCTCTTCTGCTTTAAAGACAACATCAGTATCTGCTATTTTCTTCCCACAATGTAGCTTAGACTCTGATCAACCACATACCAGTCCTTTATTTCCATTAGTTAGTGAATTGTACTCAGAATATCTCACAGCAAGGCTTCCTCTTCAGACCTCAGATTACTGTGGCCCCAGTTTGGCCAAATATAACATATGTATTTTGTATCTGAATGCTTTGGAAGCTGGCTAGATGTTTGCCAACAGGGTTCTGGCTTCCACTCCTCCATAGTTACAGTCAAGTTGCCTCTATGGCTTCTCTGGGTTAGCTGAACAGTTTGAGCTTCCTTAGTCTATCAGTGTAAGGTGTCCTTCATGGACTCTCTGTAGTTCTTCTCAGAGATTGCTGCAAATTTCTGAATCAATTTTAAAACACAAACATACCATTCCCCCCAAACACTGTTTTGCCTGTGTGGCGGGGGTGACAGCGTCCCCCTCATTCCTGCCACCAGAGGCAGGCACTGACAACGCTGAGCACCTCTTGTCTTTCATAGATGGAAACTGACCACGTAGATTTCTATGTTTACACCTTCCTTTCTTTGTGAAACAATCAACTCAGAAAAAAAAAAAAAAAAAAATCTATCTTCAATTTTTCTCTAAATTTGCCATCACAGTCCTTGCACAGCTGCTCAGACAAGTAGAACCAAAGACCTATGTGAACAATGAGGCTTACGTGCTTTCAGGATAAATTTACACTGGTGTTCAATGGGTGCTTTGGAAAATCCCACTACATACATGCAGTTTAAGGAGCACTTCTGAAAATTTTCATCAACAGATGGAGAGTATTAGGCTCCATTTAGAAGCTTACAGTACAACTCAGCAGTCGCCCACCAGCAGCGTTACAGAACACTCACTCAAGATATTATCAAAAACTATTCTGGGGGCTCTGACATATTTCCCCTAAAACGCTGGCTGCAAACCAAGAAATTCTGTAATCAGGTGGCCAATTTCTTAAAGAAGTACTTTTGGAAAACCTTATGTTTGTTACAAACTTCACTCTGTTTCCCACATTTGACACTGACTGAAAATGTAACCTTGATCAAATAAAAATCAAATTCCTGAAGAAACAGCAAAATCTGTAGAAAGCCAATGTGCTCCTGTATCATTTCATGCTGCGCCCATTGGGAATTGATCTAACAGGTTTTGTTGGGGCTATCGCCTCTGCTTTACTGCAACAATACCATGTTTAGTCAGTGAAGAATTCTGTCTAAATAAATAGCATTGCTTTTATTCATTTCTACAAAAATTTAAGGGAGAATCTTCAAGCATACCATGCTGAGAATGTACAGGCATGAAACAGTTTAAATCTGCTGTACAACAACCTCCTGCATATTAGCCTATACCCTGACAACTTTTTCTTCTCCATTCCCCAAAACACCCTCATAAAGTAACACCAAAGAAATCCCTGGTGTTCAACTGTGCACCAGCTACCAACCTTCACTGGGCTGCAACCCATGCAGCTGCAGACAGAAGCTGACAGTAAGCAAAACAAGATTTACTTTAAATCCATTAGGACTGCATGGAAAGTAGGAACAATATTTAGGAAAGACTTCACTTACATTCTGAGAAATACAGAAATTAAATACAATATTTTGGGGGCAAGGGGACAAGTAGCACTGCAGCAAACTGTAGCTGTACATAGCAAATTATCTATTCTGTGAAATCTATGCACACAATTAATGCCAACCTTGCCAGAAGCAGTCACAAATTTAAAAAGTTATTTTCAACAGTCCAGTTCATATAAAAAAAAAATAAAAAATCAACACTGCACTTTCAGGGAGTTAATAATTTATCCACCTACTTTTGGTGGAATCTGAATTTTGTTCCGAGTTGTCTGTTGTCACAACACCACATTCCTTTCTGTAGTTCACACCGTAAACACTCCCAAGGAAACCCAAGGAAACTTGTTCCTAATAAGGAAAGCTGGCTTCCAAAGGCTAGCAGCAATGCCTGAACCTAAACTGCCCTGCTCCTTTTAAACGGAGAGTTGTTCCCTATTTTTAATCCATTTGCAACTCCCTGGCCTTTGTCAGGTTAATCTTTTTCAATCCTCATGCTTAACTTCCCAGGCTCAAATTTACAAGCAGAAACAATGCCCCCTGATCACACCGTCAGGATGCTATCGCAGCAGACACCCTGGGTGACAGTGTGCGGTCAGGGCAGCTCTGCGAGGAGCACGGGGACAGCCCTGATCACTGCTCCCTGCGTCCCCAGCCCTGCAGGAGCCGAGGTCCTGGCTCCACACAGGGCCACCCAAAATTCAAACCATATGTTTGAGAGCACTGTCTCTGAACTCAAGTACTTCAGTGCTATGACCACTGCCCTGAGCATCCTGTTCCAGTGCCCAACCACCCCCTGGTGAAGAACTGTTCCTAACCCCCAGCTGCCCTCCCCTGGCACAGCTCCATGCCGTTCCCTCGGGCCGGGTCGCTGTCACACAGAGCAGAGCTCAGCGCTGCCCTCCGCTCCCTGTGAGGAGCTGCAGCCGCCATCAGGCCTCCCCTCAGCTCCTCTGCTCTGCGCTGAACAAACCAAGGGACCTCAGCCTCTTCCCCAACTTTGTAGCCCTCCTTTGGACACTCTCTAATAGCTGTTACGTCCTTCTCATATTGTGGCACCCAAACTGCACCCAGTGCAGGAGGTGAGGCCGCAAAATGCCATGCACAGAGGACAACCTCTCCCCTTGCACTGTGGCCGTGCTGGGCCTGGTGCATCACAGGTTGCAACTGGTCCTTTGTGCTGCCAGGACACATATTCAACTTGTTGTCATCCATCAGAACCCCAATTACATCTTGCTGGAGAGCAGTATACTGCACCAATGCTGAATACAGATCTGTAAGATCAGGACAACTAGTAAATGGAAAATCAGAAGGATTACAAGAGCTTCATCAGCAGTCACTGCCACTCCGAAGGCAGCAGATCCAAAACCTGAGAGGAGTGCTCCATCTGCTCACACCTCATCTATTCATCTCCTGCAGTATTCCCGCGTTCAGAATCACACACAACTTTCCTGCTTGGTTAAGTTCTGGATAGCTTGGGTAAAATTAGGGTTCAGTGACAGATTTACTACAGTGGCCCAAGTATTTTATTTATCTGAGCCTGTGTTAGGCACACATCAGTGAACGTACTGTAGCTACACCAAATTACTGCAGACCCTGGCTGCCTCAAAAGCTGTCAGTTCTGCGTTGTCAAAAACACTCTTGGATGAAAAGAAAGTGCTATCCTAATTTTACAGAGAACAGAGGAACACTTTGAACACGTCTGCGCAGCTCTCCTGCCCGTTCACGCACAAAACCTGGCTGTAACTGAGTAATCTGGTGCTGGCTAGTGTTACAGCACGGTGCACACCAGCCTCTTTCTTCCCCTCTCCAGATGGCTGGCATCGGGCACAGAGTTTCAGGCTCTGGGCTCTGAGAGAATCCTATTACACATAGTCACAGAACCCCTGGAATTAAAATCCTCAGTAATTATTTTAGTAGGATCATCAGAATTAAAAAACAAAAAACAAACAAAAAAAAGAATGAAGAAAGAAAAACACAAGTGTACCCCACAAGCCAACTGTCACAACGAGCAGCTCTCAGCTGAGGTGATGTGCTCCTTGCTCCTCTGTCCTCATGTCCTTACTGACCTCAGAATGACATCCTTCACTTTCTCTCACCACTGGTTTCTCACTCTCCTTCAGATGCTCAGCTGGTAGCAGCACAGGGCTGCCCCACTTCAGCTAAGCAGGATGTCCTGAGCAAACTCGGTATCACGATACAGACACCTACAAAGCTACACCAGCTCATTCCCACAGATTCTTCATATTTTTAGGAAACCAAGTTTCCCAATTTCTCTCCCGTCTTCAACCCGCGAATTTCTGAGGAGCCTTCCTCTGTGCCCTGTCAATAGCTGGCTGCACTTAATCCATCCTCCTACCGTTCTTCAGAAAGATAAATATAGTAGTCAGAAACTTCAACTTTTGGGCCTCTCTCCTTCTTAAGACACGAACAAAACGGCAAACTTATGTCAGGAAAAAACGAGCAGGGCTGCACATTTTTATAAGAGGTGTGTCCTATTTCAGATTAATGTGGCATTCGGAATTTACGCGTGTGCCAGCATGGAAGAAAAATACAGCACATTCATTATATAAAGAAATTGTGTTTATTTTAGTTCTTTTGGAGTAAGATGGTAACATCCGCTTCCTTAATTACTTATTCTGCATTTAATATTTTAACCTGACATGTTAAGTCTCCTCAACTGCTTCCTGCTAATGGTGTAACACAGATATAAAAACTCAAACATTTCTATTCATGAAGGACTTGATGATTTCATTTGTGCAACGAGCTTCAATTAAATTCAAAACACTTTGAAACATGAGAATTAGATTTATTGAAAACTTCTCTAATATGACCTAGTAGATTTCTCTTTGATTACATCGCAGTAGTCTGCAGAGGGCACTGAAATTACACTTGCCCACAACTGCAACATTTCCAAGCCTGCAAGCAAATTACACAGAGGATAACCAACTTGTGCTACCAGCTTGGCCACAGCCATAAAACGCTCAGGGCAAGCACATCTGCCCAACAACAAAAGAGAAGTAGCCCCACACTGATCTTATTAAAATTTAAAGCTAGAAGTGAC